GCAGGCGTCACTAGGATCTCACTTATGTTCCTTGGCTCCAGAATTACTGCAATTGCGTTATCCTCTGCCTAGCTACGGGCGGGATGAAAACTCACTTCAAAGTCTGCCAACGTGTCATCTTAATTATTTCACTCTAGGAACTTAATCCAGATTTTCCTGTGCAGGATATTTAATTTGCCAGGCAACATTAGGAAGTTGCGCTTTAACTCTGGATCACTTTGACAAAGTTCTAAAATGTGAAATTAATTAATGGGAACCCTTCCCCGCATTTTAATTATTGCAGCATCTGCACAGCAATCTGCCTAAAACTTGGAGCTATACACCAGCCCTTAGCATCTTCTCCCTCCAGCCCCTTCATCCCAACTCTGAGCAGAACACTGCTCTTCACAGATGTTTAGTTTGCAGACTAGTAGTTTATAGCATCTTGCCTGACAGTACAGCCATTTGTCATTATGATCAAGTTAATAGTTTTTATTACTTAAATATGCTATAGTCGTTTTGTGTTGATACACAGTATTACCCAGTTTCCATAGCTACAGCAGACAGAACAATTCAAGACCTTAGGGTCTCCTGAGAGTTCAGAGCCAGGAGGAAACTGCTCTTGAAAAGGTGATGGGATAGATAGGGACAGATTGTGATGTACAGCTTTAGATGGGCAGAGATAGTCAAGTGTGTTTCGCAGCTCTCAGAAAGCATGTTATCTGTTTGAAGTTCCATCTTCAAAAGCCTAAGCAATATTTACCTTGTTTTCCCTTGTTCATTAAAGTGTTCTATTCCCTGTCAAAAGTGATTTATAGGCTCTGTGGTATCACTAAATCTCATTACTGACTAACACTTCCTAGTAAGGGGGATGAGAAGCCTTATCAGTAAAACGCTGTATGGTAGCTGTGCACCGAAGGAGGAATACAGGATTGGAGTATGTCTGCGCTGCAGTCTCGATGTGCCTGCGATTTGTGGGGACTAGGTCTAACTCAGACTGCTGGTGGACACCGATGACACCTACCTCTGAAGCAGCAGAGCCAGCCAAGGATCATCCGTACCAACCTGCCCTGTAGTGCTTCCAGTCGCTACCTAGCTAGCTCAGGACTGTCTGCGTAAATCGCAGTCACAGCTCAGCTGAGCACAGACATCCCTTCCACTAAAGGACATCCGTTAATGTTAAGATATGTATTTTGAACTTATTCACTGTAGGAGAACGTCCTGATAAAGGAAGCATGTTTAAGAAAGATGATAAAAAAATACATATAATGGAGTATGGAATTAATCAAAGAATGGAAAGAAAAGTAAGCTTTCATCCTTCAGGGTATAAAGCAGCCACTTAAAGTTCCTAGTTCTTTCTGTTCCCATCATTCCTCAATGCGCTAGGGTTATTTTACCTCCTTTTTCAGGCATTACTGCAGCCACTGGCAGAATGAAAGTAGTGGGATGGATTGTAATTAATTCCCAATTCCGTGCTTGTAAAAGTGTAATGTTTTTCATCCTTCGTTATGATCTTTTAAGTCCAACAGACTGTAGGTTAGAGATTACTAGTCACGTAGTAAGGCTCATTTGAAAACCCCTGTAAGTAAGTGGATCCAATTACTATGTAACTAGGTTTTGACAACTATTCTTTCCACTGATTTAGAGAGCAAAATCTATGCTGTGAATACTGTAATGGAAAAATTAATTCCAAGATGGAAAGGACTATTAAACCATATTGTGTACATGACATAAAAAACCAGCCAAGAGCCAGATGATATTAACTGTCACTGGGCAGTCTTGACTGAAAGCACCGTTCATTGCTATTCTGAACTTAGTGCTACCTGGAGCAAAGTGTCTATTTACATACTTAACCCTCTAATAGCTTCTGACCTTAGTTCTCTTCTCTGTTCTTCCGCTGCAGTTACCTCCTTGCTCTGGGGCCAGCAGGTACCGTGCTCTCCGGTATGTCCGCTGTTCCACCAGCGGCGCTGAGTGGCGGTCTGCAACTTCTCTGCTTCCTCAGAGATGAATCTGCATCCCAAACTACTGACTGCTCAAATGGAAAGCACTGTAATCTGTTCGCCCAGAGGGCTCCTCTGCACTAACATATAACTTGCCCTGCATATAAACAAAATCACTAGGATAACATTTTTCAAAAAGCAATTTCAAACACAAAAAAAAAAAATGTTAAGAACTCCATGCATCTTTTAATACAGGTTTATTGTTAAGCTGAAACCTCTGACAAGTGTCAGCCCTGAGCAACTTCTGTTAAAAAACCAAAAAGACACAAACAAAACAAAAACAACTCATGGAGTCGACTACAGACTTTTAAGGGAAAGACTGATGGATGCCTCAGCTACTGTAATTAAACTGACTCTGGAGGCTTATACAAGCAGAAGAAATGAAAAAAAGACTCCCCTTTTCTGAGGAGGGATATTCAGTATAGACTGTAGAAACAAAGGCACGAGAAAACCGGTCTTGCTGTACTCTTGAAAGGTCTGCAATTGTATGAGCAACGCATCCACCACATGAAACACAGGGTCCTGGGCAGCTGTTCCCCATACATGAGATTAGAGCTTGCACAGGCATTGTAAGGTACACGCTTACTCTCTTTGTAATCCTTTATGAGTAAAAGTAATGAACTTCAATCAGATCCCCGCTCTCATGTTGAACGAGTACTTACTTTTCAATGTTGTGCTTTGAATTTAAGACACCTCGAAAGTCAGAGGCTTAGAAACGTCCACTGGGGTGACTCCTGTCAGGTCCTTCTGTTGCGCTGGAACAATCTATGAAGCGAATGTAACTAAATTCAAACTGTACACTTCAAGGTATTTCATTAATGAGGTGCAGTGCTCTGTCACAAAGTTAATTGATTAGTCGTCTTTCTGTGACTGGAGTGGAAACACTAAAAGATAAGACGGGGAGGAAGAATCAGCTGAGCCTTTGAGTCACATAAAGGCCTTATCCCTTTGATGAGAAGTGTCAGATTAATCTTCATAAATGGTCATAATTACTTGTGCCTGGAGCTCAGCCAAGTCAGTCCAAATAAAAATTAAATTATACAACTGATTGCATGTTCAGTCTCATCTCCAGAGAGTTAAAACCATCCCAGCCCTACAGAAACATGCAGACACTTACTGTATGCTTCTAACAGGGTAAAAGACATTTGCTTAAATATTGAGTAGGCTAACCTAGTATTTATTGATCGTATTTTTCCTTAAATAATAGTTTCACTAACGCTTGCCTACACAGACTGTCACAGTTCTGTTAGACACCTAGTTTCGTTGGTAATCTGCAGATTACTTTCCATTCTTCGTTAAACTCAGTTTTAACTATAATCGGCAGACCCGTAATCAGGCGGGAAGTTTATGAACACTGTTGAAAAGTTTTAGATCTTCGGGAAAAAATAGTTACATTAATTATGTTCACTTACTGGAAAAGGGATAAGTATACAGACACCCAAGCTGATGACATCTCACACCAGAAGCAACACTTGTCTCGGAGGTTCTGAGAACAGTACTAGTCCTTCAGAAGAAGGAACACTTCTAAAAGCAAATCTTCATAAATCTAGCAGAATACTACTCAGCGGGCACAACCCAGTTCTCTCCTGTGATTATATATGCTTTGGAAATTAATGAAACAAACAGGAAACGCTCCAGATTCATCCCCATGTCAGAAGTCCGTGACTAAACCAGTGTATGTTCAAGAAAGAAATTCTTTGGTCTCTATATGGTCCTTATGCAGCTTATACCATCTTAATATTAGGTCTTTTTAGCTGGTGGTAAATGGGATATTCCAGAAACATAGCATGTGGAGCTTTTAAAACAAAGTTAGAAAAGGAAACTAGCTTCTCCTCATATGAGATGTCGCTTACTTATTTTCCTTAGTTATTCCAATTCTAAATCATACTAAGTGATGCAATAGCTGAAGCATCTCCACTGACTTACCTTGGCAAAGACAGGACAGCTTGCATACTGCTGTATTATCTGACAAAACTATAACAGGATGCCAGTGTACGTGTAGAAATCTAATAGGATTCCAATGTATATTTAGGAATTAAAGGCTAAGGAACAAAACACTTGTATAATTTTATTCACCTAGAAACAAAGGGTCAAAACTCACAGCACAGAAGTTGATTTTATTTTGTAAACTCATCAAAAAGATGTCCATGTACAAAAGAAGGACCTTTTAACAACATAAATGCAGACAAAGGAAACTATAAAAATTCAACACATAAAAAGTTGAGTTTTTATTTTCTTCCTGCATGATTCCTTGCATCTTCCATACCAGTCTGCGCACAATCTTAAGTACAATTGTTAGAATCATTAAAATTGAAGAGGCTGGACATAAACCCATTTGCTCTGCTATAGGAATGTGTTGCTGAAAGATACAAACCCTGTAGCATGTTAGCTAGAAGTAAGACACAAGACTGAAGGAACCGGCTGAAAGGATTCTAAATTGTTATTGCGCATTCATCTTCTGAGAACTCAATCTCAGTTTTCTTTCTGCAAATATTTAGAATATTTCTCAGGGAAGTAACAGCGTTAGACTGAACAGTGCTTTGTCAAAAGATGTACGTTTCCATATTGCCCTAACGCATCTAATGCAGATTCAAAAATAAAAACATTTCTAAAGTAAAACCACTTCAGTCCCAACAAGTGTTTATTGTGCACCAAAACTTACAGCAGCTATATGACAAGCTACTGTGGCATACAATGCAGTCTTCGGTATTGGATACTCTTGACTGCAAGGTTGGACTAAAATCCTGGAGACACTGCCAGCGAAAGGTCAATTATAAAACTACGTTTCTTTTTAATCTCAGCTGATCTGCAGTTTAATTTGTCCCTGTTTCTCCCCCGAAAATGACTCTTAGGATTGAAAATTTATTCTTGTAACCACTACTTGAGGTTTCTGTAGAATGTTTTTTCCGGTGTCCTCAATGTAGGCTTGAGACTGTTGAGTGTTTCTCTAGATCCACTGTTCTTCACTAAGCAGAGTTTTTCAGTCAGGAACAATCCATGTCACATGTGACTCATTATACTCAATTTCCAAGTGTAAGTGTCCCAACTTTCAAGAGTTAAGTAAACATCTCACGATTAACAAAGAGCAACTTGAATGCCTAGAGTTAATACACTTCCAAGATTTGTGTTTGTCCTCCGCCAGGACGTAGTGCAAGAAATGAGCCCCGCCAACATAAGGCACTTACCTACGTTACACGAGAGGGGGCAGGGGCGAGAACTCTTGTGACATGCAAGTCTAGTAAGAGTCTCACTGGAGAAAGCGTAAGATCTCGCAGACTCAGGGTGCACTGCCACTTCGTTGTGTGCTGCTGTAATAAAGTCTGCTCTGTAAGAGATATCAGATCCTCCCATTGGCAGCCACTTCATTAATCTTCGCTTTTTGATGATCATATTTCACAGAAACAATAAGGAAAAGCAAGAGGGTTGCTCCTTGGATAGCAGCCAGCAAAAAAAAATAATAGTTTAGTTGGCAGCCATTAATATTACCTAGAAAGAATTGGGGAGGGAAAAAACCCATTAATAAACAACATACAAATAACAATGTCAATCCCTTCAAGCTTAAGCAGTGAAGATTCTTCAGCAAAACATGGACAAAACCAAACCAAATCACATTTCTATCCGACAGCATAGTTTTGTTTTTAATTATCCAGAGCAAAAGATTCTTCTGAGGAAGATGCACACAGTACAAGGATTGCTTTCTTTTGTGCTTCAATGCCTTAAACCAAGTAATGTCCCTGAAGAGGCTGATACGCTGTTACTGCATGATTTCTTACATTGAAAAAAATGCTGAAAGCTCCTCCTACCACTGTCACAACTTTGTGCAAACAAAGACTACACACATATAGCAGTGGGCATGCTTCATGAGAGACAAAACAGTTTTAATAAAAGGCTAATAGGTGAATAATCTTCCTTTCTTCCTCTTCCGCCCCCCTTTTTTTAAGTCTGGTTTCTATACTGCAAAATCGCAATGCTTTGCTGACTTCAGATAAAACAGCTAAAAACGTCAATGTGCATTTTCATATATGATTTACTTTCTTCGTAATGTAAGTAACAGAGATCACTTATGAATTTTTGAGGAGACAACTCATTTCAAAAGCAAAAAAAGAAAACATCCCTGTGCTGTCGCCACTAAATGGACTTAAAAAAGAAAGTTCTGCAAATAAAGCCCTGGACTGTAAACTGTTCAGAAACAGCGCCCAGTGAAAGGCAGCGTTCAAGATGGAAGCAAAGCTACGCTCATACAGGCTATTAACTTAACGCCCTTAGCATCTTCACTCGATATGCTTTTAAGGAGCCTGGAGAATACAGTGAAGTGTATTTCAGTACAGTGGCTTTTGTCAAGGAAAAAAAAAGAATGTCTCTTATGCTTTACAGCTTAATTGGAACAGGTAAAAGTATGATTTTTTTGTACTATATATACTAGAGAGTCTTCTCCAGCAGCCTTCTCAGCCCTGCGTAGTGCTATATGGTCTCTCTGCATCTGGAGGCTTGTACCTCCCTTCTCTGCTAAGTCAAAGATAAAATAAAAAGAATCAAAAAGTGAACGCTATTAAGGAAAAAGTTTGGCAACTCTGTAGATATAAAGAAAGCAATTACTGAGATTTTTCTCTCAGCCTTCTTTTGGAACAAAGTTTAGAATTCATGAAACCATACATGGTTTCTTTTTGGTTCAATTCACCTTTGACACTCCCTCAAAGTTGTTATAAATCAGTGATTTGTACCACATTAAATAATGTTAAATTAAGAAAGCTCATTGCTAAAACATTATTCCGCTATTAAGAAACGTGCACTAACTATTGCTGTACTTCCACGAACAATATATTGTGGCTCATTTCCAACATGCCACATGAGCCACAGCCAATTGGACCATTGTGATTATCAAAAAGGTTAGAGAGAGTAAAAATGGTGACGTATACATCGATCCTAACAAGCTGTTCGTACAGCATGCCTATAAATGTTCAGATTAAATTACTTTAATTACTGAAACTTAAGATTCAATTAAATGAACTTATAATAAAATGCAATAAAATTAAACGGAGTCTTTCCTTGACATTTAAAATACAATATACATGTGAATCTCCATTTCAAGAGCAGACGTGTTTAAAGAGCAGTAATTATCCTTTATGAGATGGGATATTAAACCCATGAAATCTCAGTTTTTGTCAGAGAAATAACAGTCATTTCAATGGCAGCAATCAACAGAGAAGTGCCAGTAGAGAGTGAATTTTCTCTGTAGATTTTGGAGGCAGTCAGTTACCTCAAATGATACTCATGAGTTAGCATAAATAGCGCAAACTTGGTGCACGTGCTTATAGTTATTATACAGCATCTAATGAAAAATTCAGAAGTCACTCATTCGTAAAGACTCCTCCTTACAATTCCTACCCTGGAAGACCTAAGTAAATTTCAGATGTGACTTTGATAACTTTCAATAATGTTATACCAAATGAAAATCGAGTTATAAACAGTTACCGATATAACCAGTTAAAACAGTAGCTACTATGGATGCTACAAATCAAAATCACCCACTGAGCGCTTCAACCTTGAGCAGCGTATAGCTGCTGAGAAGGCTCGATTGTATATCGAGTCTTCGAACCAAGAAAGGTAGAAATATCCAGTTCTGACAGCTGTCCAGAGGACAATCCACTGAGCTGAGTAGCTTATTCAAAACAGATGACCAGTGAGTCATGAAAGGTAACATCTCCCAGTTCTAGCCAACTCTGGGTATATTTAGCACAACCTAAATATTTTACAGAGACAATATTAGGCACTGTCTTCTCTTAGGCTGCTTCAGAAAACAAAGGCAAGAGGCTAAAAAAGCACCATCAAATATCACCTATGTTAATTTGTATGAAATTATTATCCTCCTATTGAGCCCTTATCAGCTGAATTATCTATACAGAATTGCAGAAGAAGATGCTTTTCTAATTTTGAAATTGACTGGAGGAAAAAAATCTCAGTGGGATTAAACTTTGATTTGGTGAGGACACTGCCATAAAGTTAAGGCTACTCGTCATCTTTTGCATTTTTTTTAAAGAACAACTTATAAACCAAAGATGACAACTTGTGGCATATGTACTGTTCCAGACAACATTACTTTTTGGTAGCATGCAAATAAAGCTTAAATGGCAAATTCTCTCATACCAAATTTAAAGTAAGTTTAGGCTGCACTTTTAAGCCATGTACACACAGTAGGTCTAGCATACGTTTTAAGAACTTCTCAGACTCCTTCTGTTGGAACTAATTAGCCCATTGATGACGGTGTGATTTTCTGGAATTCCCAAGGTGCCACCTACTGGTGCCAATAATTATTTTTAACTTCAACTGGCAATACAAAGCAGATGATAAGTCGGACTTTCAAAGAGTATAAATAGATAGCAGGCAGAAATGCAAATTTAACTTGTGGTAATTTCGATGAAGTGTCTTGAAACTAGGAAGCTGAATAATCACTAAGAGAGAGATGGGTACATTTTACTCCCCATAACCGCAGAAAGTAATTTTAGTACTTTATACCAAATATACTCTTCTTCCACACATAATTTAAATATTTTTTACTAAAATACAAAAATTTATATGTAATTTCTAGTGATGAAATGCAGTAACAGCTGAGCAGGTAATCGACAGGCTTTACGGAGGCAAAACACTACATGTGTGTTTCCCATGGGGGCAATGTATCATTTTGCATAGGCGCATTACTTCATACTTATATGCAAGATGAAACATGGTCTTTAACAAAACAGCAGACAAATTTATATTTTTAAAATAACAACTGTGCTAAGACCCAACAGTTCCACATACTTGATGCTTAACTGCTTCTGAGGGAAGCCTTCTACTTTATAGACTGTGAATACACTGAAAATAACTTACCAAAATCCGTGTGATTACTCATCCAGCCAATTTCTTTAATAGACACTAGTGCCAACAATCCAGAGCCAACAAATGATCCAATCCCCGAAAAGAAAAAAAACAGCCCCATAATAGCACTTTGCATAGATTTGGGAGCAGCTGAATATGCAAATTCTAGACCTGTATTAAAAGATAAAAAAAAAAAAGCTATTGGAAGATCTAAGAAACAATAGCAGTTCATTCTAGTTTAGTGCTTTAGAAGTTACAGATGTATACTACTTCTGGTACGTTAAAGACCTAAAACTAGCCTTGGATTTCAGGAGACAGGGAATTGAGGTAGTGAACCCCTATCAGTTCCCAGTTCTCTCTCATTGCTTTATGAACCCTGTCAAAGGTCATCAATATATCAACCCATTCAATGGACAACATTTGAAACACGCACTTCGATCTTAGTACTATTACGTGTGTAAAATCAAGAAATCTTCTGAGGCAGCATATTCATCTTTCTGTCTAAAATGATCCTCAAAGAAATTACTTAAACTAACTCTAACCTGGCACGTTCCATGTTCCCCATTTCACTTGTTTCTACATTACCTATCTATCTGTTGTGCAGTACTTACAAAGCACACAGCATTCCCTGCCAACAACGAAGTACTCGGGAACTGAAGGTCACTCTTGCATTGACCATGAACATTTATTCCTCACAGACTCAGTGTCTGTATCTCTGAATGTGCAGACGGAGAAATTAATTGTAGCTGGAAAGGCAGGAATTAGTTTTAATTTAATTTTGATCCAGAATTCTCCGAGCTCATTGCTTGCTGGCCTCTTCTTTTTAAGGCGTGTAGAAATGGGTCTTCAACTTTAAACTATCCTGACTCAAATTTCAACCAATAAAATCAAGGAAAAAATACCAGTGACATCAATCTGAAAATCTGTGCTACTGAATTTTAGTACCAACAGAACACACTGGGTTAGGTTCTGCCTTGCAAAGACTAATGCCCATGATTAACTCTCCATTTTAGAATAATAATCCTGTCAAAAATCAAATGGGATTATTCACAAGAGACAGTCAAATACATTCTTTGCAGAGCTTTTTCTCTGACAGGTGAAATGCTTGTTTCAAAACAGTCTGCTGCATACCGAAAATTAATGCTACCTCATCTAACATTTTTCTTGGCAAAGACCGCATTATAGACCTGAAAATGGCACAAATCTTACGTCTTGCATAATAAAGGCATGCATTATTTTCACCGTTACTGGTATTTGACTTTTGCTACTCCGGACGGAGTTTAATAGAAATACACTGGCATTTCTTTTCAAGAAAAGGCTTAACACTTCAAGCCAGGCAGATAGGTCAGTTTGCCTGTTGTGAGGGAGGAACTTTATTCATCTTGTGAAAGAAACAGAACGGTATGTTCTCACTGATCTAACAGCATTCTGCACTGCCACCTGAGAAATCTCTGATAGCCAACACACTGCTGCTCTTTTCCTTTATAAAACACGTTAAAACGGGCCAACAGCAACCTGTCTGTGACTCTAAAAGGGAACTGAAACATTCTTCATGCAACTCAGCTGTGTGGGTTCCTGTAAATTCAAACTGTAACAACAGAATCACTACAGAGATGGAGAGACATCTGCAAACGGGGAAGGAGGGTGGGGGTGAAATTTTATTTATTTTGAGCATTAAAAACTCAATTTTTTTTTCCTAGGCTTTGCCACTAATATAACAATTCAGATTTTTTCCAGGAGTACTTATCTGGCCAGTCTCGCTTAAAGAAAAAAAAACATAGACCACTCTCAGGATACAGTAGCTTGTTTTTTAACCTCTTGTTAAGTTGTCATAGCTGCCACAAGTCTCCAGAGTATCGGTCACATTTTGGTCAGCAGGCTTTTGTACGTTCCGCACAAGTTAAGCTCAAGTGTATCACATGAAAGGATCTGGCCCATTTCTTCTCTTGTTCATTTTGCAGATATACTGGTTGCAAGCGTTAACTGCTGGAAAAGGATCTTAAGACTCAAAACAAAAACCAGAATGGGTGTAACACTATGCACTTTTTGCAACAAAATAAGGCGCGTTTCTAAACTTGAATGTTTCCAGCAACCCTAATATTTAATCCGGCATAAAGAATGTAAAATCTTTTCTTTGCCTTCAGATGTATTTTTGCCTGCTAGCAGCCATTGATAACAATTTCATGCTACCTCAAACAAGCAGTTTTGAAATTAAACCCTCTACTTGGTGTTGTCATGTGAGATTATGATTCCCAGTTAAATAAGGGCGCTTTAAGAGGATTGACAGAATAATACAAAAGATTAATGCAATGTGTGTCATCTTTGTAAAGGTACCTCAAGTGTAACTAATGTGGCTTAATAAGAATATGCTTAGCTTTACAGTAAACAAAACAAAAAAACCCTTATGCTTCTGCTCTTACGATATTTAGCCTCTTTTTGTTCACAACAAACATTTCCAAATCACTACAGTTTTGTAACCATTAACACTTTGCTTATTTTAAAGCTGAATTTTATAGCACAATAGATGCCTGTATCAACTTTTAATATCAAATTGGTAAAGTATACTCTACTAAGTCTTGAGAGGACTTCTTAAAGATACTACAAATTCTGTTTAGATAACAATTAGAAGGCAGGATAAAAAGCTTTGTAAAACAGATCAAATGAAAGTGTAGTACACAAAGCAATTAAGATCTGCATAGAATTTCTGGTTCAAAGAAAGAGAAGCATTTGTGTTTTTCCTAACATTGACCAACAATTTTTGAAGTCATAAAGCTGTTGGTACAGACCCAGCAAGTGCAGAACAGCAGGGTATTCAATAAGAATAGTGTAAGTCTTAAAGACTTGACTTCTCATGACGAAGTCCACTAAAGCAGTTGAAAAAACCAACCCTCAGTTTGGAGTTCAACAAACAGGGAATGCATCAAGTCCTTGACCTTTCTACAAGCTGCAGATAGGTTTCTTATTTTTTCCTTGTGAACACCTATAAAGTAGTAACAGTGACTGACAAAGAAACAAGAATGTGTAAGAGGGAAGAAATTTATTTATTTTTGCATGAACACTTGCATTTCTGATAAGTCATCTGTTATCTGAGTTCAGATTTAATTGGCACAATTCCTAAAGTTGTAACTAACGGTAAGTAATTAATTTTACTCTTGATAAAAATGCTAAATACAGCCTTATTTTTAATAAGTAACTCCATTAAGCAAGACTCCCATCTTGAGATTTTTGTGTTAGGATTTGTGACGGCTACTGTTCACACATAATGAAACGTACTGTAATATAGGACAGCGATGACTATGCAGATACATCGTCTAGCAAAGCGTACCTATTGATTGCACTGCTAAAGCATACTTTCCATTTAAGTATGTAAAATCTAAAGTGTTTAGCATCTTGGGTCTTAGTGTGCTTTAAAGATAAAGAACTCTCCCCACATCTTACTCGTTGTTTATGGAAGCAAATTAATTCAAGGACTTGCCTATACATCACTGGGGGGGACACCACACGAGGAACCAGGAATGGGACCCTTATCAGATATCAGACAATGACCTCAGACCTTCAGCCATTCGGCACTTGCAGGTGCATCTGCACTACTGACTGCTGCAGTATAAAAGAGAAGAACTAGGATTTCAGCTGGTGCGATCCAGTAGGGCCTTCTGTCCAAATCTTGTGCTCACTGTCACAAGAGTTTGTGCTAGGTGCTGGTTCCCAGGTACATGCCATGCATGCATAGAGCTAACTGTTTGTTGGAGGACCCTGCACTCACATTGCAAATGGGACACTCCCAACAACAACCTGCTGTGAGACATCAACCGACCATCCACCAGGAAGGAAAGGGTACACTAGTGGTGCATTTGAATGCATATCGCAAAACTACAAATACACACAAGACAAAGCTATATCTAAAAAGAATTCCTCCAACATACTAAACAACTAAAGTAGAATTTAATACGTGATGGATATGTCTAATTCTTCCAGTCACATCAAATCCAAGGCCAGACAGCTGGAAGAAAAGCTTAGAGCAAATGAGCAGATAGATAGGAAAAAAAAAACAAGCCCCACATTTTCTACTTGCCAAGCAATCCAACCACCTTGTTTTATTTCCTAATAACTGTGATGCCAGTAGAACACACGTAACCAGAAGCCCAATGGAGTCGCAGTTCTCTGTTCCACTAAGAGGGGAACAAATGGGCCATGTGACAGCTGGGGCTACCGCCAGCAACGTCTTGCAGAATTAGAGAATCTCATTTTAACCCACTGTGCTTGCCCAGCGTGGGGAAAGAAAGTAACCTCCTACAGGGGAAATGAAACCAGGAAATTCTGTCATAAGGAATCGAAGAAAAAGAGCTATATGTAATGCCAGTTTGAATGGATAATCTTCAAAGTTCAATAATCCAAAACAGTAGTTCAGCACACAAATAGGTAACTATAGTTAAGCAAATACTAAATGATTTTTAAATCAAGTCACTGGACGAGTTCCAATATGTTACATCAGGTAGCTCTGCAATTCTGTTGAAGTAGTATCAGAATAGCTACTTCTACATCAGGAAAGGTTTCTGTTACCGGTAACTAAGCGTTGCTCCCCAGCACTAGATGGGTAAACACTGTGCTAAGAGATTCACAGTAGCATTTCACTTGTTTAATCATAGTAAACCAGTGTTAGCCCTACCACAGTGACCACAGAGAGATTGCCTGTGCGTTCTTCCTGCTAATGAGCCCTGCATGTATATGAAACAGACCAGCAAATAAGATTTTATAGTCCTATTCACCCTCTCCTCCCACTTCACCTTCAGCTTAAAAATCAGTATGATCACACAGCCGTCCACTACATCACACAGAACAGTATTAAGAAATTTAAGATCTCTTGCATTTGTTCAAGAAAGGCAAGATTTGAACAGTGTTCATTTGCCTAGTATCACACTGAAGTACTACAACAACTATAGAAAAACTGATCTATAAATAAAGCAGATAAAGCTGTATAAAAAATAGCTACTTCATTATTAATATTCACAAAAAAACTAGTTTAGATTGAGTGTCACATAACTTTTCTTATTTCAGAGATGTAAAAACTCAAGTAACATGAATCCAAACTGCTGATAAATCTAAAGATGGTTTATTTCTTCCTTTTTCCCTCAGAAAGGTGTTTCCACTTACTAATTGACTGTCTAAACCGTGATCTCAGTTTTCAAGCCAAAAAAATTACAAAGCACAAATTTTATTTGCAACACAGAGGAAGATTCAGAAGAAACAATACTGCACTAAAACTATTCTTTAAAAATACAATATTGAAAGAGTATATTGTTTTCCATTAGGGATTGCAAATATCCAATGCTAACTGGATGACACGCAAATATTTCAGTGTTGGTCTGCTTAAAAGTCAGTCTTGCAAACATGTCCTTATATAGCCAATTTTCAAATGTGAAAGACAATTGTGTGCTTTGCCACTTGTATTACGTTATATTGTATAATATTTTATTTGGGAACATTAGAGCTTATTTATAATGATTTGAGAAGTAAGTATTTATTTTCTAAGAATCCATCATTTATGATAGATATGAAAGCAGATTTAAAACACACAAAGACTCTTACCTGCTATACTTGCAAATATTTCACTGAATCCAATCAGCACATATTGAGGAATCTGCCACCATATTGGCATATCTGCAGCATGGTATGTAACATTTCCAATTGTCTGATTAATTGTTTTAACCTTTACAATTTTCAGTCTGTTGCTTTCCAGAATTCCTGCATGGAGGAGGGGGGAAAAAGATTGACCTAAGATGCAAACACTGTTTCTTCATGTTAAGAATTAAATCAGGATTCAGCCCTGCATTGCAATTACAAACTATAAAACAGGAATATGTATTCCCTTATTTCCTAACATAAGGCATTTCAGACTACTTTTGCTATTGTTATTTCAAGACATACAGTTCTTCCGCCATAGAATTAGTGATCATATTCTTATTCAGTAGCAACAATTATACAAATACTTAACTCTTTTCCAGATGGATTAGCTGAGAGCTTTCTCATACAAACTATGTTGGTTTTTTTTAAAGACAGTCTCATTTTCACAAACTACTATTTGCAGTGTTGAACCATTGCATCTGCCACCATAGTATTAATAAATTAGAAGCCATTTTGCTTATTGAAATGGCTACACTAGTCCTGTAGAAATATGAAAACCCTCTATGAATATGATCATAGCATTTATATGACACTTATCATCCCAAGAGACCCAAAAGCTCATTAGAGCTTGATTTACAAGCAGTATACTGCACAGAAAGCACTTCGTGGACAATGAAAAATAGACATGATAGTGTAAAATATAACAATTTTTAGCTTGCTCAACACAACAGTTTAGAGTAGAAAGTGAGTATCAAATAATGCTGTTGGGTTTTTGTTGAAGTTGCCCGGATGAAAGGATTTGCCTCACTGTTACATAAAATGCACAGAATAGCTCATAGTTAATAAAACTGCCTGTTTCACCCAGAAAGGACCTCTATAAAAGAACCCTCAATATCCTTGGAAATAAGGTGGATTTATTCATCACCAATTCAGAGGAGCACGGCTGAGTCAATGACATTACTTCCTATAACACGTGTTACACACACATGGCCTCCCATTTAGTGCCTGTCAGTTCCAGTCTTTTTCTACTTATTGAGCCAAGATCTGACCTAATCTTGGGGCACAAAATATCACTCCTGTTACAAAAAAATTGTATGAGGCTTAGGTGACAGATGTGATGCTTCATGGATATCATACCATGTACAAGTGATTAGATCTGCTTCCTCACTTTTAGCTTTTTCTTTCCTAGAGGCAGCCAAAGGATGACATGGACATTTAATATGATGTTGACTGAAGTTATTGACAGCACTTTTTATATAAAAAAGCACAAGCAATTTCTAATGCACAATATAATATCTGTTCTCCTGTTTCTTCCCAAATCTGTGACATACAAACCTTGAGGGGGCCAACCAGATATCCATCTCTCTGCTAAGTGACAGTGTTCCAAGGGAAATGACTGATGTTCGCCAAAACCACCTCACACCACGACATGCAGTTTCTTACTAGTCCTGGTCATGACAAGAACCCCAAGCTGGGAAGAAAGCATGAGGAAAGCTCCCTGTAGTCCCTATATATAGTCTGTAGGCAAGGCCATAACTAAACAAGAAGTTCTAGAAATCATATGCTTAAGAATAACATTGCATGTCATCATGAGGGAGTTAAGAGCCAGAGCTCTGAAAACCAGACTGAAGGAGCACACATTAACAAGTGACTGACTTACAAAGTACTTTGGAAAGGATGGAAAGCTGCATTTGTGTAACACGTTTATTCATTCGTAGCAGTTTAGAATCTATTCAAGTACGAAATCTTGCAACAGCTCTACAGTCTAATCTTCTGAGACACAAGAGTTGTAGAGGGAAAACAGGTTAGAATTATTCGAGTTTGCTTAAATACTACCTTGAGGCCCCCAAATGTTTCTTAAAAAGAGTGTTTTCCTTAATAACATCTGTTTTTGAGGTAAAGACTGTTCTGAACTTAGTACCTCCTAGTGCCAGACCACCACATTTTCTCTACCTTCCTCACTTCTTTTTAGGTGACCACTTACCTATCTTATTTTTCAGTATCTTTCTTTAGCTCTGCAGCTACCTCAGTGCCCTCGGAACTTTGAAGAGCTGATGTAATTAAAATAAAGCTGGATTTCTTTATGTTTTGGTTTTAATATAGCTGAGAAACATTTTAGAATGGAACTTAATGAAAACGTAAACAAAGCAGTACAGTCAGCTAAGAACTCAGACATAATTTCACTCATACATTCAACACAAAATTATAGCACCTCAAAACATCTAGTGATCCTTAATGTGTTTGATACTCTTCACAACATATGCAGATTTAGGAGGCATTTAGCCACGCAGAACCATAACTACCAAACTTTGCCATAAATTTATCTTCAAAGCAGAGTACTTCAGAATCTAGAATCTACTGATTCTTTCTTAGACTTTGGTAGACAAGTTTCAAGTTTAATCCTACAGTTTTAATAGGTAAAAGAATCTTAAGCTCTTGCTATAATTGTTTAATATATAAATGAAGTAGATTTTTCAGTTGAATAACCTTAAATACTGCTGCTCGGAATTTACGATAAGATGCATGAAGCACAGCAGATGTTCATTAAATCTAATCAGTTGTATTCTCACACAGTTTATAAGATATTTTAAATAATCTAAACAATCTAATAGGTAGTCTAAGTAGTGTCCAGAACTAATGCCAGTTAGATAACTAAGTTAAAATGGACATATGGCACAAACAAATGATTAAGATACTTCCAAGATTGCAAGTTGAGATACTAACATCTTCATACTTTTAAAATTTTAATCAGTATCTCTCTCTAAGGCAGAAATGGTTGGAAGTAATGTTGTATTTTAAGAATATTAAAATATGACTTCTATAAATATCATTTAATGAGAAAATAAAAATTTTATGAAGCATATAAACCAACAGCAGCTTTCCCCCCTGCTAGAAATAAACAGAGTTTCCTATGCCCCAAATTTGTCACAACTGAAGCTCTTAAATTCATATTATGACTAAGGGATGTTAAGTTACTCCAGAAGGTTAAACTTTCCAACCAGATTGCAGATAACCACCCAAAGAATTCACCTTCTCAGTTTCTACTGTGGAAGAGCTAGGGGAGGATCAAACCAACAAAAGAATGTGTTACATTTGTAGGTGAATAGAAAACAAGAAGGCATTTGAAATTTTTAAGAATTCTGCTATATGAAACCATTCCCCAACTCAGCTATCATAGCTCAATATGCTTTTTTTCCCCAGTACTAATAAAGACAGATATTGCTGGTTTTGTGAGCCAGCAGGTTCTATTTAAAGAGGTGACATTTAACTGTTTTACATCATCTTCTTTTGCTGGTAGCAGTGTCCTAAGTAACATGGAATAAGAGAAACATTCCTGTTTTAAGTTTAAATGACTTTGCTTTAAGAACTTTACTTGCCCACATACAAAGTGACCTTGGCCTAATAAGGTAATTATCTCTTTCATTGAGAGAAATCTTAATAGCCGTATAAAGTGTCCCTCTCTCTAAAATATAGGAGATTACAAGTGCTGAAATTAATTTATTTAATGCTATAATGCTTTATCAATATGTTCATTACAGCGATACTAGGTGAAGGCTATAGGTTCTATGAAGCATTGCTCAGAGATGTTCAGTTCCACATCAGCAGTGCTTAACAACTTTAAATCATCTCAAAAGCAGCTGATTTATGGTTCAAACAGAGTTGCCATCTTTTTCCTTTCATGCTATGGCTGAGCTATTTTACACTGCGGTAATTCCCAAACATCAGGGAACATTAAGGTACGGGAGAAAAAACCCAAAGTGGGAGGAAACTCTCGTTCAGTCATAACCTAACTTTGTTATTTCACA